AAAAAAAATAAAAGAAGCATAAAACCTGCTAGCAGAGAGTCCACCCTGGTGTGAGAGGAGACAGTGTGGGTTCGGGACTGGGGGTGATGGTGAGGAGGAGGATAGGTGTGTCCCGAATGCATATGGAGAGATTGTGTCTGGCGCCCTTCCTATCACCTGCCTTAGCACCTAGCCTTGGTCATACTGCCTGTCCAGCCTGTCTCAGGATTCCCAGCTCCCCAGGCCAGCAGGCTTCTCAACGTTACCCACCCCAGGAAACTGAACTGCCCTTAGTTTGGTGCCTACTGAGTGCTTTAACTTAATCCTCCCCGTCTAGTTATGGGCTAAATTCTGTGTCCCCTACTATAGTGTTAAGGAAAACAAGTTCTGAGAGGTGAGCTTCCTTTGCGAAAGTCACATAGCTCCTAGGTGGGAGAGCTAGGATTCCGACTAGCTAGGGACTCTAGGGGCTTCTGGTGGGAGCCTGGCTGTGTACTGGAGCTCAGGGCTGCTGGTCTGGGGAAGCTGTGGTGGCCCTAGCCCCCTCCTCTGAGGCCCCGGCCTGATAGACTGGGTTACAGTGCCCCCTCTCTGGAGCCTTCTGCCTCAATTTTCCTCATTTCTCCTCAATTCTAGCCACAGTCTCCCTTAATAACCAGTTAAGGGAGCCAGCAAGTCTCTTAAAAAAATCTGTTATCCCATCTCTTGACAAACATTATTAACAACCTCAACTTCAGTCTCAATTCAACTTTAACTGAGTTCTAACCCGTAGCCTCAGTTCTAACCCCTAATTCCAAGTCCATGGCAGACCCGAAGGGTCGTCTTGTTTATGCTCATTACCATCCCAATCTCCACTCTAATCCTAAATAATACTTCATGGTACTTCCTGCCCGACCTGCCCCTCTGGTTCAGCCTGACTTGGTCTTCCCAAGGAAGGGTGGTGGGCTCAGGTGTAGGACTAATGTCCCCAGAACTCTCTGAGATCTCTAAGGGGGCCAACCCAGCCTAGGGGGGGACCAGGTGAGTCCTGGTCTCCACGCAGTGGTTGGTCCCTGAAGAGAACGTGGTGAGTACGGAAGGCTCCTGGGTTCTAAGTTTGTTAAAACATGACTTCGGTTGCCAGTTAAGAACAAAACTATTCTGAAACATTTGGATATTGGTGATGGGTGGCAGTTGGTCAATCTAATTAATGTAATTGACAACATTAAGTTATACACGTGAAAACCATAACATTGCCAAATGTTGTGTTTTATATATATATATATATATATATATATATATATATATATATATTTACAATAACAACAAAAACAAAAACCCCAAAACATTCGAATTTGTTAGAACGTGGCTCCTTGGAAAGCATGGGCTTTGCTGTGGATCTGAGAGCAAGACTGGAAATGTGTGGGTGAATCTGGACCATGCTGTAAGCTCGTTTGGGCTGGGGTGGACTGTCTGACCACCTCCAACTGCTCTCATCCTGTCTTAACCCCCTTCCCACTGGGTTGGGAGCAGGAGATGGGATATCTTGACTTCCGGGTGCCTCCTGCTGAGAACTTGCTGGTGTGGAGGTCCTGGAGGCATAGATGCAGGCTGGCATGCACCCTCCCTGGGAGCTGAACTGAACCAGTTCCATCAATGTCTTCCTGCAGAAGCAGGCTGGATCCCTACTGCTCTTCCCTCACACTTAACTAAGTGCTGCTTCTGCTGTTCCCACTCGAGCACTGGGCTTCTGTGGGACGAGTGGGACCCACGGCTCTGTCCTCCAGATTCCGCCTCACCTTCTGGGACTCTCCTCTAAGACATAGAATCCCAACCTGTCTGAGCTGGAATGGCCGTCTAGGTCTTCTCATTCACTGGGTCCCAAACCTGGCTGAGCAATAGGACCACCTGGGAAGCTTGTTAAACATGCAGAATCTACCCGGTTCTAGAACCTTCAGTCTGTCTTCAGGGAATTCTGATGGTCCTGAACCTGGTTTGGAATCCACTGATCTAGTGCAGCGCACTCTTTTTACAGGCAGGGAAACTGAGGCCTGAGTGTTCAGGGTCATAGCATGCCAGCGTCAGGAGTCAGAAAATAGTGGGTTCCCAACTTCCCCGGTGTGCTATCTGCAGTTTTTGAGGAGGGGGAGTGAGAGAAAGCTACAGAAGATGAAGTTGGGGAACACTGGCAGTTCCCTCTGAGTGGAATCTTTTATGAAGACTCTGCCCTGCAGCGCCATCTTCTGGCCATTTCTGGTATTGTCTATGTCTTGCTCCCTCTTTATATCTCAGACGTTTGGTGCTTGGTTCTGATTGGCTCAGGGTAGGATGGGACTGCTTTGGCCGCTGCTGTGCGCTGTCCAGTTCAGTCAGTTTGACTCATAGAGAAACTGTATGTTGTTGTTGTTATGTGCTGTGAGTCGGTTCTGACTCATAGCGACCCTGTGCAGGGTTTCCGAGGCTGTAAATCTTTACGGGAGCAGAAAGCCTCATCTTTCTTCTGCAGAACAGCTGGTAGTTTCGAACTGCTAACCTTAAGGTTAGCAGCCTGACTCGTAACCACTATGCTACCACAGCTCCTTAGCCAGCCAAGGAGGCACCAATTTTCACTGCAATATGAAGGTGGAGGTTACAGAGCTGATAACTGTCAGGACCTTGCCCCAGACATGCAGGAGTCAGCCCTCGAGGGTAGACTTGCATGGACAGTTTGTGTGTGTGTGTGTGTGTGTGTGTGTGCGTTTCCCTGGAGGACCCCCACATTGGATGGAGAGGGATCTTACTGTGTGCTTGAAAACTGACTGTCTTATTGAATAATCACAGCAGTCCTTTGCTAAATGCAAAATCCTTTGCAAACCATCTTTGTTTTTTTAAGTGAGGATACTAAGGTGCAGAGATAAAAATAACTTGTTCCAGGTTTGATGAGGGTTAATTTTGTTGTTAGTTTCTGTCTAATTGGCTCTGATTCCTCTAGATCATCTGGTGCTAGGCCAGCTTCATTTTTGTTGCTCTCTTTGAGTCTAGAGCTTTAGCTGTTGTGTCCGTTCACGTCATTGAGAGTCTCCCTTGGTTTTGCTGACATATTCAAAGTAAATGAGCCAAAGTCTCGCCATCGTTACTTCTAAGGAGCATCTGGTTGTATTTCTTCTAGGACCGAAGTGTCTGTTCTGACCATCTCAGTATTCTTCACCACACCACACTTCAGATGCTTCAGTTCTTTTGTCTGTTTCATCGTTCAGCTTCCGCATGCATAGGAGGCAATGCAAAAGACCATGGTTAAGTTAGGTCTGTCTGAGTCATCACAGTGACAAATAACTAACACAGAAGAAAGGACTAGACGCTCTCCTGAGTGCTTTTCATGTAATACCTCATTTAGTCTTCATGATATTCATCAAATGCGGTACTACTAACAGCCTTGTTTTTGAGGTTCAGAGAGGACAAATAACTTGTCTAAAGTTATACTCGTCTACTAAGTGGGGGAGTTGTGATTCGAACCAAGGCAGTCTGGTGCCAGAGCTCATGCCTGTAACCTTTCTACCCCACTATCCAGCCGTCTGGAGTCTTGGCGTGGCACCGTGGAATAAGCACTCGACCTCAAAGTCAGTTTGAACTGCAAAGTCGGCAGTTCAAATTCACCAGCTGCTCCTTTACAGGTTTATGAGTCAGAACCGATTGGATTCAATAACAACACCACCCAGCCTTCCGGACTTTACTGGGCTTCACCTGCCACCTGTGCTGAGTTCTAGGACTCTGGAGGCCACAGGCACGATGCTTCGGGTCCTGGTGGGGGCTGTCCTCCCCGCCATGCTGCTGGCTGCCCCTCCGCCTATCAACAAGCTGGCCCTATTCCCAGACAAGAGTGCCTGGTGTGAGGCCAAGAACATCACCCAGATTGTGGGCCACAGCGGCTGTGAGGCCAAGTCCATCCAGAACAGGTGGGATTTCGGGGTGGAAGTGGGAGATGAGGACAGGGCTGTCTATCCCTGCCATCCCGCAGTGACCCAGGCAGGGTGGTCTCTCCTCCTCCCACAGAGCGTGCCTAGGACAGTGCTTCAGCTACAGCGTCCCCAACACCTTCCCGCAGTCCACAGAGTCCCTGGTGCACTGTGACTCCTGTATGCCGTCCCAGTCCATGTGGGAGATTGTGAGTATCACCTGCCCTGCCCAGAGCTGGTGCTGACCTTGGCCTTTCTCCCTCGGGTGGGTCCTGTATTCCAGCCAGTGGCTGCAGGCATTTAGCAGGGACCAGACACATTGTCCTCGCCACATGATGACTCACAAGTCTGACACAGGACCAAGGGTCTTTCTGAAGCTCCTTTCCAATGTCCGTCCCCTGCTGAAATCCTTTCCAACAGTGACTCCTGTAGTTATAGAAACAGACGGAAATCCTTGCCTTGCCTCACCAGGCCCAGTGTGGTCTGCTCACCACCCTTCCAGCTTCATCTTGTCTCCCACCCTTCTCACTGGCTTGGTCTTAACACCAATCTACCTGGCTGAACCTTCTCGCAGGTTCTTCTCTATCTGGAAAAGCTATCTCCTCCTCCTTATCTATGTAACATCTATTCTTTCTTTAGTTTTTGCCTCAAGTGTCATCCCTTTTCCAGATCCCCCTGCCGGGGTCCAGTTCCTTTACCGGAGGGAGGGCTCTCAGAGCAAGCACTGTGTGCTTCTGCCTTGACCATTTGTCTCAGGTTATGAGTGATTGTGAGAAGCACCTGTTTCCCCCTCTAGACACAGAGCTTCTGGAGAAATGCTGCCTGTCCTGCAGACATAACCTAGGAGCTCTGTGCATGCATGTGGGCGGAGAGAAGGGAGGGAGGAAGGGAAGAAAGAAGGGCATGCAATTCGAAGTCTGACAAACGGAGAGAGCAAGAAACTAAGGAGCTCCTTTGTACAAGGCAGACTTCAGCTGGGCTGGTGGTCTGCGATGCAACTCTTCTGAGGAAGTGATGTCTTAGCTCAGTCCCCAAGGCTGAGTAAACGTTATTGGACAAAGTTTGGCGCAGGTGGTAGGGAGATGGGTTGGGCAAGAACTTTCCAGGCAGAGGGAACAGCATGTGCAAAGCCTCAAGCCCAGCATTGGAGGCAGTTGTGCAAGGTCAGGGGTGGGGAAGTTGGCTAGAGGCAGCCTGAATGCCCTGGGTGGTCTTAATAAAGGGTCAGCACTTTTCTCCTAAGTGCAGTTGGAAGTTTTGAGGGGGCTTTTAAGCAGATGTAGGCACAATTGAATTTTGTTCCTGGAGTACCCTCTGGCTGCTGTGGGGAGTGGTCTAGACTGAGCGTGAGGACATGAGTCATGTGACTTTTGCAGGAACTCAGTGTCTGTCTTTCCCACTCTCTGAATTGACCCAGAGAGCTTCTTGGGATACTCAGGTGGGCCCTGGGATTCTTGGTCCCATGAGGTCCTCCACAGGCCTTTGGAAACACCCCTCCCTTCTCTCTCATGCTCTCAGGTGACCTTGGAGTGCCCCGGCCATGAGGAGGTACCCCGGGTGGACAAGCTGGTGGAGAAGATCCTACGCTGCAGCTGCCAGGCATGCGGCAAGGAGCCCAGCCACGAGGGCCTGAGTGTCTACGTGCAGGGCGAGGATGGGCCAGGTGCCCAGCCTGCTGCCCACCCCCACCCCCACTCGCATCCCCATCCTGGTGCGCAGACCCCTGAGCCTGAGGATCCCCCGGGATCACCCCACACTGAGGAAGAGGGGGCTGAGGACTAAGGCCCCGACTCTTCCTCCCCTTTCGTCCCCCTGTGGAATGTTGGGTCTAACCCTCTGGGGAGAAGTGTGTGTGGGGGGCAGACTGAAGCCCTCCTCTGGCACCAGATGGACTTGGATTCAGACTTGGACTTGGAATGCTGCCCAGTTGCCATGGAGATCTGAAGGGGAGGGGTAGGAGTCAAGCTGCACATTTTAATATATTCAAGAGTTGGGGGGTGGATGCAGAGGTCTTCAGAGTGTTTTTGGTGGTTGAGGGGGAATCCTCTTCCTTTCTGCCTCCTAGAGATGTGCCCTTCAGAAGGATGGATGTTGGCAAAGCTGTTGAGGTTGGGTTAGATGGGGAGACCAGGACCCCACTGGTCCTGGGTGGGGAAGGACCCTTGGGGGGTTGCAGATGGTGGAACTGGGGCCTGGAGTGGAGAGTAGGCATGCTACCAACACCAGGCAGCTAGGAAGAAGTAGAATCAGGAAGTTCTAGCACCCAGCTTCCCCATGGGGCCTCCCACTCCCCATGCTAGGGACACTTTTTCTCCAGTGACCCTGAATGACCCTTCCTTAGTGGAGTGATGTGCAAGTCAAGCCTGGGAGGACCCTATACTCTGGGACTAGAACTGGGAGCCAGGCTATCAGGGCCTCTAGCTTCCTAGGCTTCTTTCTGGGTAGTGGGTGGGCTTGGGGAAAGGAGAAGCTTTCGTGGGTGGGCTGGCTGAAGGGGATGAGCTCCCAGATGATCACCACAGAAGACCATCCCTCATTCTTCTCCCTCTAAGAGAGCTTAACTTCTCCCTCTGCCTCCCAAGTTCTAGGCCCTGGGATAGCTGATGGGGGGCTTGCTCCACTCTTGGGGGAGCTGTTTCTAAACAACTGATGGGGAGGGAAGGTGAGGTCTCCTTACACAGAAATTCGCAGGAGGGGATTTTACTTGCTCCGGCTGAAACTCAAGAAACCCTTGAGGCAAAAGGAGGGTAGCCAGTGTCCACTTCCACCCACCCCTCCCCCAGCTGCACTTTAATCCTAGAGGGGGTTGTGGGGGCCTCGGAGGAGGGCAGGTTGGCCAGTACTCAGAACTGCCTATGTCTACCCTTCTGCCCCCTGCCTGGGATTGCCCTGGCCCTCACGGCTGTTATGACAAGAGCTTCTGGAGCTTGTAACCAGTAGACTGTCTTGAATTGACCCTGCGTTTTATGAATAAATTCGTTCAATGCTGTGTTCGCTTCCTCATTGGCTAGCTGTGCTGACTCCGTCTTCTCAGAGGCTCCCTTGCCCAGCCTGCCGGAGGGAAGGGTTGCAGAGTCCCTAACATACCCACCGGCCCCCCACCCCATGGCCCACCCTTCATCCCAGGACGTTCTCACTTCCCGACCCTATGGTGTACACACACCCTACAGCTTTGTCCCCCAGCTCCCCACCTCTATCCTCAGGTCTCTTTCCTGGCATTGCGTACACTTCTTGGGTGGGCCTCCAGATCTGGGCTTTCCTGATGGTGACCTTTGGTCCCTTGGACTTACCTCATGCCCACTCTCAACAGCAATGCAGTATCAGCCCTTGCCTAAGCCCTAGGAGAAGGGGAATTGGTAAAACCATTGGTTCAAATTAACCTGAGTTCCTTGCTATGGGGGCCGGTGCTAAGCGCTCCTTAGAAATAAATGTGCTTAATCCTCACCACCATCCTGTGACGGTGCTTTTAGAGGTGGTGCAACTAAAGTACAGAGGGATTAAATAGTTCTCCCAGGGCCACAAAGTTAAGAAATGTCAGCGTCAGAACACGAACCCAGGCTAAGAGTCCAAACCCTTAATTACTGCTCTCATTATAACTTTAGTGAAAAACAACCCATTTGCTGCACAGTGGGTTCCGGCTCATGGCTACCCTGTGTGTTGCTCCACAGGGTTCCCAATGGCTGTGATCTTTCAGAAGCAGATCGCCAAGCCTGTCTTCTGAAGCACCTCTGACTGGGTTTGAACCTGTGACTCATAGCAACCCCGTGTATAACGGAATGAAACATTGCCCGGTCCTAGGCCATCCTCACAACTGCTGCTATGTTTGAGCCCACTGTGTTCATCTATCTTGTTAAGAATCTTTCTCTTTCTTGCTGACCTTTACTTTAGCAAACATACCTTTAATTTAGTTAAGGGGATTAAGAATTGGACAGCTAACCTTAAGGTCATTAATTCAAATCTACCAGTCGCTTATGGGCTCAAGCATAGTGAGGATTGCACAGAACCAGGTGGTGTTCAGTCTATTGGACATGGGTTAGAAGACTGAGGTGCGCCTGACCCAAGCCATGGTATTTTCAGTAACCTCATATGCATGTGAAGGAAGAGTGTAGAAGAATTGATGTTTTTGAGTTATGGTGTTGGAGAAGAATATTGAAAGTGCCATGGGCTGCCAAAAGAACCAACACATCTGTGTTGGAAGAAGTGCAGCCAGAGTGCTCCTCGGAGGCCAGGATGGTCAAACTTAATCTCTTATACTTCGGACGTATTGTCAGGAGGGACCAGTCACTGGAGAAGGATATCATGTTTGGTAAGGTGGAGGGTCAGAGAAAGAGAAGAAGACCCCCAGCAAGATGAATTGGCCAAGTGGCAGCATCGATGTACTCAAGCGTGGCAGCAATAGTGAGATTGGCCCAGGATCGGGCAGTGTTTTGTTCTGCTGTGCATGAGGTCACTATGGGTCGGTACCAACTCAATGGCACCTAATGACAGCAACAAAGATTTATAGCCTAGGAAACCCCATACAGGGGTCACTATGAGTCGGAACCAACTTGGTGGCACCCCTGCCCCCCACCCCACCATACCTTTAGCTGTTGTCTGCTGATTGTGAGCCAGTAGGATAGAGTAGAACTGCCCCCACCCCTAAGGTTCCCAAGGATGTAATCTGTATGGAAGCAGCTTGCCACATCTTTCTCCAGTGGAATGACTGCTGGGTTCGAATCACTAAACTTTTGATTAGCAGCTGAGTGCTTAACCACTGTGCCACCAGAGCTCCTTATAACCATTGGTGGTGGAGTGGATTAAGTATTGAGCTGTTAATTGCAAGGCCGGTGGTTCAAAGCCAGTAGCCACTCTACAGGAGAAAGACTGTAAAGGTTTATATTTCCGGAGACCTTGAGGAGTCCAAATGGCAATGGGTTGTTGTTTTTTAACGTACCAGGCTGGATGCTTGACAACCTTGAAGTGAGTCATTATCCTTATGCAACTGACCTGTCTCCCTGAAATTCTCCACCTCACAGGGCTGATGCTGGAGAGAGCTAGGGACCATCTTTCTTGCACATATTGCTCTATCTAACATGCAACATGCAATTTTTTAATCCACGAAAAACTTGCATCTTTCAAATGAGAAAACAGTTCCTTTATGCTCTGGGAGTGATTTGCTCAAGCTGGAAAATAGGAAAGGAGACCTGGTGATGCAGTGGCTGAGTGCTCAGTTGCTAACAAAAAGGTAGGCAGTTCGAATCCACCTGCTGCTCCATGGGAGAAAGATATGACAATCTTCTTTGGTAAAGACTCTTGTTGCTAAGTACCTGTGGAGTTCAAACCGACCTTAAGGTTGAGTGCTTATCCTACGGCGCCACACTTGGTGAAGATCACGGCATTGCAAACTGTATGGGGCAGTCTGATTCTTTCCTATTGAGTGACTATAACTCATTGCCAATGGCTTTAGGGTTTGTATATGCAGGAGGTAGACTTCGCTCCAGTCCAGTTTCCTAAGGTGATGGAGGAGAGGATGAGCACTGACGAGCAGAGGTGACTAAACTGATCCAGGCAGGAGATGTTGGGGCCAGAGTTTAGTGGAGGCAAATGGGATTGGAGAGATGGGGATCAAAGGGAGAGACAGAGCCACAGGGAGGGGCACTGCTGATTGGATGTAGGAACCCAGGGGATGGGAGAAGCTAGTCTTACAAACTTGCACATGAGGCTGAGTATGGGAACAATGACGTCTATGCTAAGCTGCACTGAAGGCATTGGTAAAAACCAGGGCTCCAGGAACTGATGGAATACAAATTGAAACCTCTCATCAAATGGATGCAGCACTGGAGGTGCTCACTCATCTGTGCCAAGAAATTTAAAAGACAACTACCTTGCCCATGGATTGGAAGAGAGACACATTTGTGCCCATTCCAAAGAGAAGTGAACCAACGGGATGCAGAAATCACCAAAATCATTACTGTCATATACAAATAAAATTTTGCTGAAGATAATTTAAAATGCTAAATGCAGCCAAATATTCAAGCTGGATTCAGAAGAGGACATGGAACTAGGGATATCATTGCTAATGTACGATGGATCTTGGGTGAATGTAAATAATGCCAGAAAGATGTTTACTTGTGATTTATTGACCATACAAAGGCTTTTGACTATGTGGATCGTGACAAACTGTGGATGACACTGTGAAGAATGGGTATTCCAGAACACTAAATTTTGCTCATGAGGAACCTGTACATAAACCAAGAGGCAGTTATTTAGAACAAAATGAGGGGATACTGAATGGTTTAAAACCTGGAAAGATGTGCACCAGGGTTGTATACTGTCACAGTAAGTTCAATTTGTATGCTGAGCAAATAGTCTGAAAAGCTGGATTATATGAAGAAGAATGTGGCATCAGGATTGGAGGAAGACTCGTTAACAATCTGTGCTATTCGGATAGTATACATCCTTGCTTGTTAGAAGGGAAGAGAATCTAAAATACTGATAAAGATCAAAGACAACAATCTTCAGTGTGGAAAAGACAACAGCCTTAAGTATGGATTGCACTTCAATGTAAAGAAAACAAAAATCCTCACCACTGGACCAATAAATAACATCATGATAAATGGAGAAAAGGTTGAAGCTGCCAAAGATCTCGTTTTGCTTGGATCCACCATCAACAGTCATGGAAACAGCAGTCAAGAAACCAAACGACATATCACGTGAGGCAAATCTGCTTCACAAGACCTCATTAAAGTGTTCAAGAGCAAAAAGACCAATTTGAAGACTAACTTGTACCTATCCCAAGCCATGATATTTTCAGTTGCCTCATATGCATTGGACAATGAATGCCGAAGACCATAGAAGACTTGATGCATTTGAACCATGGTGTTGGAGAAGAATATTGAAAGTGCTATGAACTGCCAGAAGATCAATGGAATCCTTCAATATTTCAAGTTGAGGCTTGAATATTTCCTTCAGTTCTTTAAGCTTGAGAAGTGTTGAGCGTGTTCTTCCCTTTTGGTTTTCTGACTCCAGGTTTTTGCACATTTCATTGTAAGAAGTACATCCAAATTGCTCTTTAGAGGCCAAGGTGGTGAGGCT